CATATATATATATATATATATATATATAATTATGCCAAGACATAAATGTTTCTTATCTAAAGCGTTTTCTAATTCTAATCGTTGTGTTAGTCATAACTATGTCAAACTCGAATTTACTCTTGACATTCCTTGTTAGTTCCGTCGATTTTAAAGCATTTGGTATTATCTTTTAATCATTTGTTGGTTTTATTTAAGTTATATTTGAATCCCATGATTTTGTGTGTGTTATGAACCTATTTAATTATGTTATGAATCCATCGTTTGTTCCACTGACCAGGCATGATCCACTGGCTAGCGTTTCCCCGCGCTGTAAATATGAGGGCTCATGGTGCGCGTTCAGTTACCGCAGAAATTTTGTTTGCTTGTTCGTTATTAAGCACGAAACTACACAATGGGCTGTCACTGCTCTGCCCATCGCGAGTATCGAAACCTGATTTTTAACATTATAAGCTCTCACACGTACTGTTGAGCCAGCGGAGGCACCTCATAGAACTGTTCTGCACACCTTCGAGCCGTGAGAGTGATGATCATGTCTCATTATTTGATCAGGTAAGAGTCGGTGGTGAGTATTATTGACTTCACTCTAATCTATGGAGACAGCTATGCACATAAAATTCTTGTGAAGCTTTGCTAGAAACTTCTAAAACAAACAAAAAAAACAATTAATTACTCCGTTGATAATTTACTGTTACTTCTATTGTTCCCGATGTACGTAATGCTATTTCAAGGAGTTTATTAGTCCTGTTGTTATCAATGTGTTTCTTGCGTCTTCAATCATTTCTTGATCCCATTGCTATAAATGTTATTAGTGTTTCTAGTAGAAGCATTGGCATCTGGTCTCTGTATTTTGGTAACAAGCAACAAAACAACAACATTAACACACTTTTAGTGTTATTCCAAATATTTCTTGGTTGCAAATGTTAATAATGTATTTATTAGAAGCATTGCCATATGGTCTTTGTATTCTTGCAGAACAACTAGCAACAAAACAACAACAACATTAACACTTTTAGTGTTATTCTGGTCCCATTGTTTTGTATTGTTCTTTGTACTAAAACATCATAATTGTATGCAAAAGTATGTTTAAGTATGTTTAAACTGAATTACGTTCATTCTAAATACCAGTTCTTGGAAAGAATTTTTATCTTTTTTTGTCTCAGTATTCTATACGAAATATAGTTATATGTATCTGCACTGTATATCATGTGAGTGTATAGATTACGGTATCAATACGAACGTGTTGATATTAAATTTGTCTGAATACATTTCCCATAAAAATACCTTAAATAGTTCTAAAATTGTCTTCAATTAAAAGCTTAACTGACACACAGAAAGGTTGTTTACGAGAAATAAATCTGCTCTGACAATGCATGACTAAAATGGAGGTGGAAACGTTTTTTGTTAGTTTTTTTTAGAGAAGAATGCTGAAGTCGTAGTTGTTGTTGAATTTTTCGACAAAATGATTGCCATATGTTAAAACATATAATTTATGGTCCCGTCTGATCCTCCATCAGACAGCACGTGTTCTGCTCTAATCTAAGAAGTTTTGTGTTAGCACAAATTGAAGTCTGCGCAGATATCGTTTTACACTTCACTAAAACTCAACACAAGCTATGAAGCAGTGTAGGAGAAAAATATGTAGAACAAGACGTGAAAAGCTAACAGTAGTTCTTGTTGACTTAGAATGTGCCAAAAAGAAAATGTTTCACTGTATCTTTTCAAACTCCGCTTGTGAAGTTACTTGTACACATTTTTGTCTTACAAGAAAATCCTATTATAGTTTATGTGTTATCTCTTCATATTAAGCCAATGCTATTAATAAGGTATGTGACGCCGTTCGCTACCGATAAAAACGATACCAAGCTTTAAATGCCTTGACTGTTTCGTTAATTTTTGACATCATCCCTAACACAACTAAAATCAAGTGTTCACAAGGATATTCTGTGGAACTTTATTCTCCTTACAACTGATTTAGTGAAACACTCAGCATTCTTTTTCTAGCACCTGGATACACAGCTGCCTCGTGTGGTGTTCTGCCAAACTAGTGTTACATCGTGAAGAGGAAAGGAGGGTGTTGACTGACATGCACACATTCATTTTCACTTTTTTTTATCAAGGCTTATCTTCAGTTAAATGTTTTATGTCCCTTCTCTTTTTTTTTCAATTTACTTTTTACACAGAGAAGAAACAAACAAAATTAAAGATCACTGTTAAAACTGTACCACCATTAAACCATCTTAATAATTTGGAAGGAGATTACCCATAAACGCGAATTTCATAATTCCTGAGCTGGGACACAAAAGTAAATTTTTATACCACCAAACTACACAAGGACTATCCTCGCATAGCTGTCCCTAATTTTGAACTGATATACTAGAGGAATGGCAGCTACTCAATAACACCCACCGCTAACTCTCGGGGTACTCTTGCTTGTTATAATACTGCGATTTTGCCGCCACCCTTATAAAGCAACCACGTTCTCAAAGTGCGGGTGCGTTTTGTGAAAACAAGATGTGAACTATAAATCTTCCGATTCACATTCTGAACATGCTAACCACTCGGCAACGTCCGGGCCCATTTCACAGGCGTGATTACATAATTAAAATCATTATAGTTCGTCGACATTGGATATGGCAGGTGTAGCGTGGTTGACATATTATAACATATTCTTCTTTTATTTTACTTATAAGTTTTTAGAATTTGAATCTGGTAACTTAAGTGTAAACTTGCATTAATGGATTTTGTTTTACATCTTGAAACTTCAATTTTTGTAAATCTGAAGTTTCTGAACGAAGCCTAAAGTAGATAAATGTCAATAAAATTTTTGACTCCAAAATAAAACAAAAAGATTCAGTTTTCAAGTCTGGTTTAAAGCTAATGTCTTTATAGTGTAATACAACTTCCTACTAAAATAATAATCAACAAACCAAATATATACGATTTGCGTAATCTGATCTGATCTCAGAGAATATCATGTTTCAGCAGAAAAAGGTTACACACTCTAATATTTAGACGTGGTCATCAGAAGAGCCGCCATACAGTGTACAGCTTACAACATTTAAAGACATGGCGCTGAAAAGAAAAATGTAAATCACTGAGATCAACGGGAAAACCATTTACAAGATTTAAACTACAACACCATTTGCCTAAACATTTTATAGGTGAACGTTAACGTATCAGGAAGTGTAGAGTTTCTGCTTACATAAGTTTTTTGTAGTTTTTAACTTAACATTTATAAGATCTAAGTTCAGATAGCAATTCAACATAGTCAAGAAAAATACTTCATTTCACTTTTGGCCTAATTTTTCCTATGGTTCGCCCACGAAAAAAAGCAGATTTTTTTATGCTGATCCTAGTAACTCAGTTTATTTGACGTCTTGTTCACCAATGCATATTGATTAAAAATGTGACGCCAATTCTGGATTCTGAACTTAATTGAGCTTGAAAATAACAAAATTTTTTCAATCATAGGAATGTAACAAAAAAAAACATGAAATGGAAAACAGAAGATAGACTAAAATAGGTAACGGAAAATGTAATAAAACGATGGATACTGGATACCTTAAAGTATGTAACATGAATTACAGCACAACAGTGAAAACATCGAAGTATATATATATTATGAAGGGGAAGAGAATAAACGATTAGTTAGAACAGGCAAAAAATTGTAGAACAAAGCAATCAATAACTAGAATAGGTAAGAAGAAGCACAGCACAGAAGAGATAGTCACAATATATTATAATAAATTAATGGGAACAGATTATAGTTAAAATCATTAAATAACAAAAATTTGAAGATATAAAGACAAATTATGATAGGAAACAAAGAATGGAGCAGATAGAGGATAATTGGAACAGGAAGCAAAAAAGTGGAATAAATAGAGGATGGTTAGAATAGGTTAGAAAAGGGTGGAGCAGAAACAAAATAGCTACAATAGTTAATAAATGGTGGAGTGGATAGAGGATAGTTGGAAAAGTAAACAAATAGTGAAATCAAAAGAATATAGCTCTAATAGTTAACAAAGGGGTGAATATAAAAAATGGTTAGAATAGGAAGCTAAGATAGCTACTATAAATACTAAGAAGTAGAAAAAAACGTAAGTTAGGCTTGAAGAAATATTAAGGGGTGTAAGAAGACTAGAAAGAGCACCAAGATCTGGATTTGAAAGAGACTGATTTAGGTTAGACCATAATGGATGAACTGATGAGTAATAAATATACATTTATGCACTGATACACTCTAGACATAGCAAATGACTAATTCACAGGCGACTGACCGCACTGTGGTGTACGAAACACGAAAGATGTATTTACTTACTTATACATCAACATTATTATTCTAATGTAAACTAAACTAAGAATTTTGTGACTGAAATAAATATTTGATATTAGAAACAAACAACGAGATTTATTTTAGAAGCAGACTTTTATCAGTAGTGCCAGCAGAGTCATTTGTCCCTTCCTACATTATGTATGTATGTTTGTGTTTATGTATAGTGTTCATAAATTGTCCTCAACACGAAATCTGACTGATGTTTCCAGATTTCACATACACTCTCTTACGTAATACATATCTGTTTCTATCGTTTGTAGCATTTTTTTATCGTTCAATGGTATAGTTATATAAACTCCATGAATTTTGTTTTAATTAGTATGGTCATAATTAAAAACACACAACTGCAATAGTAAAATCACTTCAGTTTAAATTATATGTATCATAGCAAAAACAACGTTACAGCCCTGTATTCGAATAGAAACGTCCTAAACAAGTTGTTTCTCTTTCAGAAAACTGAAATGCGCGGAAAAGAAAATTTTCTAGCTTTAATTCTGCTCCTGGTCCATTGTGTCTTACTTTCTCAGGCAGTGATATCGATCGACAATGGTGGTTACATGGGTATTGTTGTTGCAATTCATAGAAATGTTCCTGAGGATGAGCAGCTGATATCAAATATCAAAGTAATAATATTTTATATTATATTTTGTTTATCTCTTATTCAACGCTTCTAAAGCTTATTGCATTCTAGTTGATACAATTAGCGAGATATAGGTTATCAAATAGCTTTTTGATGTTGTTTAATAATCTCTTCTTTAGATATCAATACAAGGTTTTAGCTAGGAGATGAATCGAATATAAAGTATTATTTAGTATTATTTTATTCAACAATACTTCTGATCCAATCCAGGAACTCTTTACTGAAGCTTCAAGCTACCTCAATACAACAACTAAAGGTCAAGTGTACTTCAAAGACATTATCATAGCTGTTCCATCAACATGGTCCAGTAAACCAGACTATGAGATTGTCCAAAAAAACTATTTTCCTACTGCAGATATAAGGGTTGATCATCCAAATCCTTACCACGAAAATAACCCTTATACTCTACAACCGGGTGGGTGTGGAGAACCAGGACAGTATATTCACCTCACTCCGACGTTTGTAAAGGAATTGCACACAAAAACATTAGAAAAATACGGAAATGCAGGTAAACAGTGTATCTCTCTTACTAAAATTCTGTCAGTTGCTGTTCTAGCTTCAAAATTAATCGGGCGAATTTAATCAAGTAATAAATTCTAGTAACAAAAAAAAGTGTAATTAATGATGTGTGGGCAGTCCATCAAATAGTGGCATAGAATCCTGCTAGCATATTGTTACGCCTCGAACATTATTCATGGCTTGAAAAAATTCACTTCCAATCCTATTCTATAATTGTCGTTCCATCATTAGGATTCATTGTAACCCTACAATTTATTAATAGTTGTTAAACTTTATCTGACGTTATTGTTATATTATCAGAGTTATATGTTCTTTCATAGCTTATCATAATGCTAGGATTTCTACCCATTGGGTGTTATAGTTTCGAAAGCTGTTCTGCTTAACTCATCCTATGGGTATGTTGAATATAACGAGCTCATAAATGTTTCATATACACAGAATATGCACATATGTTTAACTTTCTACGTCACAAAAACTGTAGAGTATCTAATATCTTGTAGAAACTTGAACGTAACTTTGTTTTAATTGTATACTGAATTATCTGTATGCATTTTATGTGTGTATGTTTTTATAGATTATCATTCAAACAATTTTGTGTGCAATAAGTGAGACAGTAAAAAAAAGAACGGGTAAGTACTATTTTACAGTAAATAATAGTTAAACAAATTATTTTTGTTTTCATATGAATACAGAAATTATATCAACTAAAGGATGAAATGTATTTTACAAAATGTGATTATTAAGTTTTCACTGTCAAGAATCTCACTTTGATTCTGATAAACAAGTGCAGTGTATGCTATTTCTTCATTTATATTCAAACATTTCAACATGTTACTCGAACTTAAAACTTAGCAAAACTATTCGTTCTAGAACAAAATACGAAAAACATCCCAGCAAAATAATCTATGATATTTGGTTTCAAGCAGTTTTTAACCCAACCCCTTCCACCTATCCACAAGTAGATACCAACGTCCAAAATTCGCAAAATTTCTAATAGGTCCTTCACAAAAATTATAATTGATCCTTATCAAGTTTAACTAATCCACTCGAAGAACATGTGTGTATGTGTGTTAATTCTATTTTATCAGTTGCAAGTGTAACATTTTCAAAAAAAACACACAATTGCAAATATGTATGTGCATATATGTGTAACATTAAAGAAAACTAATTGAAAACAACAGTTTTTAATTATATCACTTTTGGAATGTACACACTCTTTATATCGATCCAGATAATCACAAAAAATAATGTGACTTGAGATTACTATTTCAACATTGACCAAAAGGTATTACTCAGTTGAGCTGCTAGTATTCGTCAGAAATCGTTTGGATAGGTCCTGCCATTCATTTGTTTCAGGAACCTCCTTTTCGTTTCAGACGTCACAGGGAATTTTCTTAATGTCTAAAAATAGGCCAGGGATCCCCAGAAATAAAGGCTCCATTTGTAAGATTAAAATAAAGAAGATACGTTCACAAGACGAAAACACAGCTATGGTCTTAGAAAAAAAAAATATAGAAATGCACGTTTGACGACAAGGTAAAATAGGAAAAATGCTTAAAATTTTAACCTACCCAGCATGACTGTTTCGATTATTACTATAATTATTGCTATTCTAAACGGCCCACTAGCTGGTCTGGGACGACTAAAAGACGCGAATTTGGGACTCTGGTATATACTATTATGTTGATACCAGTATGGAAGGGATGGAAAAGGTTATTTTAACCTTATCTCGAAGCATACTTCCAGAAAGCACGTCATATATTTTAAGTTTCAAGAAATTTTTGCATTGTATTGACTTTACGTAATTGTTGTTGTTTGAATTATAGCTGTGTCTCCGCCTCATTTCATATTGATATTATGAAACCATAAACTTAAGTTTAAAACATACACAATACAACTTTTACTCAAATGTAATGATTTTTGTTTGATACATCCTACTCTGTTCACATTCTGATCCTAATTTACAGTTGGTTTGGCAAAACTTAGTATTAACTTAAATTCTTTATCCTGTTCCGAGCTGTGTATGTATTTAAAAAGTTTAAGTTAAATATATGTGTCTTATCAAAGATACTATATTCTTACCTAGTTAATTTCTTTAGCAAGGCAGTGTTTTTATTTTCAGTTCAAATAGAATTGGATACTCGTTTTTACAGAGAGACATCTTGTACACGAGTGGGCACACTTAAGGTACGGAGTTTTTGACGAATACGGATTACCAGGCGACCCTAACTATCCTGCGTTTTATCAAGAAAATGACAAAGTATGTGGTTTCCTAAGTATTATTATCCCTAGGATTATGAGTAGTTGAATGGCTTACGTATGAAATTGATAATTCATTATACAATATTCTAAGATATTTTATGTCGATTCGTCTGTATGTTATATTAATACAAATTTAATGTTATTTCTAACTTGTCTTTCTGTTTTTACTAAGCAATTTTAACAGGTAGAGAGTATATGAGAATTTCTTCTCTTTCCATAAGAACGTCAAGTTTTCATAAGCAAACAGAATTGTTTTCTTTCTTCAGTTTACTCTTGTATTTTGTTTACTTAGAGCACTACACTGATACTTCGTTTTCTTTCTGCTTAGTTAGCACTACAATACTACACTGACACTTTGTTTTCTTTCTGCTTAGTTTAACACTACACTGACAGTTCGTTTTCTTTCTTCTAGTTTGTGAATGTAAAAGCTGCTTTGTTCTAGATAGTCACTCCAGATGTTAGCAGAGTTGAAGTTTCTCACAAAAATGATATAAATTATTTGTGAACCGATTTAGTTAGATTGTTATCATTTTAAAGCATTGTTTTCGAAATAGTGCATGTGTACATTTATTAGGTTGTGTACATTTATTAGGTTGCTATAAAATCTGATTAGAGATTTGTGAGAAGGTACGTGGATTTGAAAGTTTCAATTTTTGAATCCTGAATAAATGTCTGTAGAATGAGTGAATTATAATTGGACCTCCATAAGAAGGGATTTTACATAATTTAGTTTCCGTGTTTTCACTTTTCAGTTGCGGACTAGATTTTTTTGAACCATTCACAACCAGTGAGGATCACATATCGTATAATACTGAATGATTTTCCCTTTTTATCTTTTGAAACATTTGGGTGAAATCATTTATTTTCTAGTTAAAATGCATAGAAAGCTCCAGCAGTTCTTAATGGGATTGACTGCAGTATTGAAGGTATTTGTGTTTAGTTTTTTGTCATATATTATGAGTGATCCTCTAGCGATCTAGCCAACAAAGTCATCAATGCCACAAGTAATTTCGTCTATAGTTTCAGAAAATGTGTTTAAAAAACAAGTTACGGACCTGCTAAATAAATCAGCTCACAGGTTTTATCAACAATGATATTCAAAGTGCCTCGTTATTAATTTGTCTGACGTAGATCGTCCCAACAAGTTGTAAGCAGGGAATCACTGGATGGATCGAATCCAGTGATGGCGGACCCTGTTCCATTACAATAGATGGTACAGTTAATGAAGATTGTCGGTTTATCCCGGACTTGAGCAATGAGGATGCTAAGGCATCTGTCATGTATTTACCTTACATTCCCTCGGTAAGTAAATTACTTTTCTCTATTTATCTAGCTGTCAGTATGTATCTACATATCGGTTTGTTTATATGTATATCTAAATGTTGCACTCTAAGTCTCTCTTTCTGCCCCTTTTTTAATATAACTGTTTTTGTCTGTCTTTATGGGCATAAATACGAAAAACTAATGCTTTTCTGTAAGAGAAATTATAAAATAATATGTACATTTTCTTAAAAATCTTCTTTTGTTGTTTAAAGTATGAGTATCACTTTTTCACTTAAAACATGCAACTTTAATTTTTTGTCAGATTACTGGGTTTTGTGACAACACAGATAACCAGCTACACAATTCTCTAGCTCCAACAAAGCATAACAATTTATGTCATAACCAGCCAACTTGGACTGTTATCAAGAAGCATCCTGATTTTTCAAGACGTTTGTAAGTTTCTATTTTTTACAACCTAATTCAACTTTTTACTTTCTCAAATAATGAATAAATTTGGGTCCTCACATATGATTTCAACACACAGATTTCTTGAGACGCGACTTAATATTGATTTATATATCAAGTTTCAGCATCTATCCTTCTCAGAACATATGCCAATATTGATTAATATACCTAAAACAGGTTATTGTTCCTTGTTACTTGCCATTTCCATATTTGGTTGTCAGAAACGATTAATAACATTTTCTTCGTTTCATCCAAATTTCTCAAAAATAGGGAGATTTTAATTTGTGTTTGCTTTTCCAAGATAATATTTAAAAATATGAATAACAATCAAATAGGTGATGCTATTAAGCTATTATAATCAATAAAACATTAATTTTTGAATTAAATTAAGAATTATTTAAAAATCAATTTTATAGAATTATCTTATGAAATTTGAAACGTATGTTATCAACCCTTCCAGTATCTGTGCCTACTATAGGTGATGCTGTCAAATATGTGATGATATTTGAATTTAAAAAGTAAGTATATATCTTTGGCAATAGAGTTTACAATCCTTAGTGTAATATCGGTTTTATAATTTATTGACAGTAAAAGAAGTGTGGGCTTTACCAGCACGACACCCAATTTTCGTACCGTACAATCCCAACCTGGAAGTGAGGGTAGATATGTCTTGGTGTTGGACGTATCCAGAAGTATGAGCGTAAGTAATGCTTTTTTTTTAATTCTTACACATTTCATATCTATTATGTTTAAAATATATGTCACCATTAAGATTTTAAAATATGGTTATCATCATAGTAAATTAACAAACAAGGATTTATAAGCATACTGAAGTGGTTTTATTTTGGGGAACAACATACTACTTTCGTTTGTCTTCTTCAATGTTCTGTAAAAACATGCAATATGTTCCCGAAAATAAAACGACTTCATTATGCTTAAAAGTCGTTTGTCAATTTACTATTATATTAGCATAATATGTTTCCTTACACAAGTATGCTTATTCATCGAGTTGCAGCTGTAGACTATCACTTTTTATCTTTTGAATATGTGTTTAATTGATCTTCTAGCTGAATGATACCAAAAAATCACGTGGGCTGAAAACAGATAAATAAAAAAACATGAAACCTGATAATCCGGGTGCTTTCGAAATGTATACATTGCTTTTTGAGAGTGGGTTGGAGTTAGGGAAGAGAAGACAATGTATAGCTAAAATATTTTTCTATTTATTTGTAACACCTTTCAGATGTGTTTTAAGCTTATTCCCATCTCGTCAACTCTAATGTAATCATATACTAAAATAAATGTTTTATATTTTTCTGTAAACTTGGTATGCCACTTTATGGAAATGAAAAACTTTAAAGCAGTATTATAATTTCTTGAAAACTAAGCTAAGTTTTTTCTTGTAATACGTTTGTAGTATATATATGCATGTACATAAAAAATATCGAAGTGTGAATGTTTTAAACGTCTATTGCATCGTATTGTAAACAGTATAAAAAATACTTTGTTTCTAAAACTGTGGCAAATTGATTTTTGTTTCTAAACCTTATTCTATATTTGACAACCTGATAATTATATTTTTTTAGATTTATTCCCATTTAGTCTATTGCCAGTGGGAGTAGACGAACTGGGGTGTTACCGTGTTTAGGGGCGTAAAGAAGTTTTCTTAAGGGTATTGTACTGAGTAATTTCACAAATCTTCACGAATCCAATATTTTGATGTGATATCTTTATAAATAACAAAAGTTACACCCAAACTGTTCAAACTTGTATGAACAAATCTAAATATAGGATTTTAAATATTTACAGTTGTATAACAGACAACCTATAAAACTACTTCATCGAGCAGCCACTAGATTTGTTGAGGATGTTATTTCTGAAGGCTCTCAGTTGGGAATAGTTTCATTTAGCACAAACACTACAATTCTTCATAACTTGACTCAAGTCAACAGTGCCACTCGCATGAAGCTGAGAAATAGCTTACCTGTAAACAATGATCTCGGAGATACAGCAATTGGGAAAGGACTGGAGGAAGGTTTAAAGGTTTGTGCTTAGCACTTTTGAATTTTAAGGTTTAAAAACATTTAAATCGAATGTACCACCTGGACATTTATTCGTAAAGGCTAGAGATTATATAAACGAATTTCATATTTTTACCATGATCTGAAAATATTTCAAAAGAATCAATTATTTATTAACAAATGGGTCTTTACAAAATTTTTATCTTGTAAAACTTCATAATTTTAACGAAATATGTTATTGTGATTTTACAAGTTTTAATCTTTGCAGGTTTTAAAGTCTCGTGGAGAAACAGCAGAAGGAGGACTGATTATCCTTATTACAGACGGAGAAGAAAATGTAGAGCCATATGTTAGTCAAATCCTTCCGAAACTACAGCAAGAAAAAATTACAGTCAACGCCATTGCTTTTGGCAATAAGGCAACAAGAAAACTAGAAGACCTTACAAAGTTAACTGGTGGTAAAGGATTTTTCTTTGCAGATATTCAAGGCAATCAACCCACTAATGCACTTGATTCGGCTTTTATGGACTCTGTCACCTCGCAAGCTGACTTAGAGTTTCGCCCTGTTCAGGTAATTTGTTTCCCCATCATATATATATATATATATATAAGCAGTTTTGTTCAAGACTTATCAGCGCAAGTTAGAAGTTCTGGTTATATTATTTTTAGTGGAATAACTTAAAAAAAAACACAAGCAATATGTTAAAACCTGAAACAGTTTTGTTCTAATGTTGAAAAAAAAATACTTTTTACAAAATGTTCTACATAATATACAAATATAGATATAAACGAATATAACATTAATGTTGAATTTAAGAGTTTTTATTTCAATAAATATGTTACTTTAATTTATTCTATGTAACGGGGTAAAAATAGCACTTATCTGAACATTTTTTAATCATCAGATCGGAACTATTATTGTTTGAAATTTGCTTCTTTAATAACACAAAACATGAGCTCATTTTATAAATTTTATCGGTGTCTAAAGTCATAGTATTTACATATAAACGAAATTCTATTCGAATTTCTAATTATCTTTCAGTCTGAACTTAAAATCTCCAATGTAAAGTTAATTACCTACAGGATACAAAAACCTTATCAAAATTTACAGGAAACAAACTCTTAAAATATAAAGTTTAATTTCTTAAAGAACTCAATTATTATATTTATTATCCAAAAAAAATGGGACTTCTATTTTTATGTTTCTAAATCGTATACCGAAGTTTTGAAATATATCCGTTTTTTTTATTATTCATTTGTAGATAACCGACACCATTATTCGGCTCATTAGCTCCAAAACTATAAAGAAAATTACCTTAGATAAGGAACTAGGAAGAAGCACAATTTTTACTTTCACAAGTGAGGACGTCAAGTACATTAATATAATATTAGTGAGTCCAAATGGGAAAATCTACGACGTTAACAGTCCTGAGTACACCAAAGACGATCGAATCAAAATGAGAGTAGAAATAAAAATACCAGATGCTGAGGTAACTTTCCTTTTTATCAGTGGAAGAGACTTTCACACACTGTGTGCTTATTATAAATCTTATTATAATGTCATAAGCAGGCACAGCACTGTTAAACAAGACGATTTAAAAAAAAACATTGAGTAGAAAATACCTGAAACTTTAAGTTATAGTATAAACTTTGAAAAAAAGATGGCGATTTTAACTCTTTTTAAATAAAGTGTTTGTCCAAGCTAATCGTTGATTCTGAAACTAAATTCACCTCTCACGCATGATACCCAAAAATAGATTGTTTCGGTGCACGATAGGCTAAATGAATCTTAAGATAAAGAAAAGTTTACTACAGTCTATTCTGCTCAAACATATATATATTCCTAGCCAGCGTTGAGAGAGAAAATAAAAATCAACTCAGTTTTTTTTTTCTTTTCTGGCATAATGATAAGCAAAATCTACAGCTAATGATGTTTTGAATACTGGTTTGTTTGTTACGGATTTCGTGCAAAGCTACACGAGAGGTATCTGCGCTAGCCGTCCCTAATTTAACAGTGTAAGACTAGAGGGAAGGCAGCTAGTCATCATCACCTACTGCCAACTCTTGGGCTACTGTTTTACCAACGAATAATGGGATTGACCGTCACATTATAACGCCCCCACGGCTGAAAGCGCGAGCATGTTTAGTGTGATAGGGATTCGAACCCGCGCCCCACAGATTGCGAGTCGAGCGCCCTAACCACCTGGACATGCCGGGCAGTAATACAGAATGTTAAAATTTCTAAAGTATGGTTATTTAATTACACTTGCAGAGAAAAATTAGTATCTTAACCTATCAAAGGTAGGCACTAAAGGATTTAAGCCTAAAATAAGTAACTAAAACCTTTCTCACAAAATCTAACAAAACGAATTGAGGTTCATGACCTTGTAGTCCGCACAGTGAGTCAGTGGTAAATTTACGAAATTACAATGCCAAAATCCGGGGTTTGAATCACAGTGATGAACTGATCGCAGGTAGCCTATTGTATAGAGTTGCGCTACACGAACAACAATATGATCTAGTAGCAGTCATTCAGTGTTTCACTAGTAATCTGAAGTTGAATGTCGCTTGATTGTAGTTTGTTTTCTTTGATAATTACAAAATTATATCAATACCCGTAACGATTATGTTAGAATTTATTATTCATAAATTCATAAGCTATAAAGACAATAGTTGTACTACTGCAACAAGAGTGAAAAGACAGTATTAAACTTAAATATAAACTAAGCATTATCTTACAGACTGGACAGTGGATGGTAACAATATTATGGTCAAAATCCATTCCCGGAGCTGTTTCTTTTTCTTTGACTTCTGAACCAAAAGATCCTCGGATCCAACCTGTTCGGGTACGATCTTGGTTGAGTGTCGTCCAATTGACGTATCCTTCACATGCTAAAGTATACGCTGAAATTAAGAAAGGGTACAATGCTGTCGTTGGAGCCACTGTCAAAGCAACGGTAGACCGCCCCATGGGGTCACCAGTTGATGTACTTTTGAGAGATAATGGAGCAGGTATTTTCGTTGGATCTTCTTTTTTTTTAGTCTCTCCGCCGAGAAACACGAATTTAACTAAAAATAATTTCAAAAACAAATATTTTATCATAGAATATATCACTAATGACAGGGAACCTCCAGGTGAACGTATAGCTAGTTAATGCCATTTTAGAAATGGCTAAAACGTCAGTTTATATATTTATCCATTCCTGGAGTGTAGTCCCGATAAGATATGTGTTATCACATTGATATAAATTATCAGTTGCCCTTCTTCTCCATGTTTTTCACTTAGTGCATGCGTGTTAAAAACCTTTCTGCATATTTAATAATTATTATACATTTTCCTATAACAATAATTTTTCTAATTTTAAAATTCTAATAAAGGATTAGTAGCATCTGAATTACTTTAGTCAAATTTAACTATTTATGACCTAGTAAAACTTTTTATTATTATGATACTAGAAAAAAAAAACTTTATTATATAATTTCTTTAAACTGAGTACTGCGGAAAACGCATTATGTATAAATGAAACATTTGCCGGGCGTGGCTAGTGGTTGCCTAACAACTATGCTTTATCTGTACCAAGATAAGTCAGAGTAATAAACATTGTGGTGCAAAGTCTAAAATATTAAGAGGTGAAACATTGTGAAGTTTTCAACAGATTAATTATATAAATGTTACAAGTTTACTTGTAGGTGTTATATAACCAATAAAACAGTACATCTAGTTTTAATCCTTCAAGCGTTGTTCGTCCGTAAATAGCCAACATTCGTTTTAGAGTAACGTTTTTTAATAATACTTTGTTAAAATATAAGTACAGCTATAAATTTATATAGTGTACTAGCATGTTTTCGTATTATAGGTCCCGACGTCACGAAAAATGACGGAATATATTCTGGATACTTCACGCAGTTCAATGGTAATGGACGATACGCAGTTGTAGCAAACGTCATCAATGATGGAAATGCAAAAATCAGGCGTGGAAGCCAATCGTCATCTCTCATTCCTATTCCTAAATTTAAAAACCTTGCAGGTAATGAAACAACATCCTCGACTTTTTAAACGTAACATTTTATCCAAAAGAGAATACGTTTATTTCTATAACTAATTTTAAAATCCTGCAGGTAAACTGATCATAGTTTTTAAATATGATCTATTTTTTATTTTCTGTTGCTAATTTAAAACTCATTTGGGTAATTAAACATAATATTTGGTTATTAATGTTCAAACTGGTGTATCGTATTATTACAAATTATTTGTTGAACACTAATTGCCAACTTTTAATTTGTGAAAATAATTCGTTCTCAGTCTACAAGATTGACACTACAATATTTCACTTCTAATATCTTAAGCTCTCATATTAATTCTTATCACCAAATTAAACATTTCTTATGTTATAAGATACATTACTTGATATCTAAGAATGTAGTAACCTATTGTGAAACAATGAAACGAAATATTTTTGTTTAATTTTTCTTCAGAAATAGTAAAATTTCGCACTAGAAATTTCTAGCTTTTAATGTGTTTTAATTTTCCGTAAAAATTCTTTCCGAAGAACTTCAGCGATACAAGTCCTTTCTTAAATAAAACTAGTTTATTCTTTCTCAATACAACTTTACAATACACTTGCATTTTAACTTAAACATCCGCTATAATTCACAATGATTCACGCACTTTCCTTACGACTTGACTCGATTATCTGTCTATTTCTCTCTATCTGCAATTCTCTATGCCGTCACTTCTACTCTCCGCTTTATTTGCCGAGCTTATATTTACAAAAATAGAGGGCGTCTGACAAACACTCGATCCTTCATGGTCCTTCTAGAAACTCATCACGTGTTACCACTGTTACACTGAGTAGTATATTGATCAAATTTTATTTTTACGTCGCCTAAGATCTTCATTTAATGTATTAAATGCGACATAGATAAAAAGAAAGGACTATATACAGTTTTTATCAGTTTATTCTTCACTTGAAAACAGGTAATTCAACTAAGTTTGGCAAACCTTCGTATGAATAAAATGAGTCAGTTCTATTTGTAAATAGTCTCATTTAGTATTGCTACAGACTATAGTTGAAAATATTTATAAATCATCCCTTTATAAGTAAGAAAAAATTCGTTTGTGTGGAATGTAAAATCAAAACTTAACATGATAGCCTCTAAATACACAAAGCATTTGTCATTAAAGGACGTCAGATTGTAAAACTGTTTTGTTTTGTGTTACAAAGCTATTTGCAGTGATCTACCTGATTTTACTTCTTCATATGCGACATTTCCGTCGTAGGACTCGTAGATGATTTGTTTCTAACAAAATGATGAATCAGCTGCATGTATACGTAATAGAATTACAAAATATTAATAGCATTATTATTATTATCGTTTGAGCAAAATGTTGACCAAGTGATATTTTCATTAGATAGAGAAAAGAAAAACGCCTCAGCATCCTTTACAAGAGATGAGTTCGTCGTGTCTAAGAAGCCTCCAGGACCTCCCGAAGTGGACGAAGAACCAATCGAAGTGTTTGAAAGGACTTCAAATGCTGGCGCTTTACGTCTTGATAATCATTCTTCCAATGATGTTGATATAATTCCACCCGGTAGAGTTACGGACCTTGTGATAATTTCTTCAGAGCAAAAAGATGAACAAAAGCTTATAACTCTGCGATGGACATCTCCTGGAGATGACTTAGATGTTGGAAATGGTGAGCTATTTACAACTTATAATCAACATCTTGTATTACAGTTTGTTTATTTAATGAAAGCAGGTGTACTAAAACAGTAATGTGCAGAAAATAAATTTTGTTTTGATATCTGATAATCTGTTTTATTATGTAACAGTATATTTTATAATAATTACTTGTTGTAGTGTTCTTCGAATAATGAAATCCAAGGGCGGATTAAAGGTCAGACGAGCCTAGGGCTAAATTTTTCTACAGGGCCTATTATGATCGTGACTAAAGACTATGATAAAAAATAGACCTCAAGTATGTTTTACGTTTTGATGTAATGGGAAAATAATAACCACGGATTTGCAAGACTCGACTACAAATTAATGAACAATATTAGATGGTTCTTGAATAGAAAAAGTGGTGTTCTAACACAGACAAATTTTGCATTTGGACAACAAAGCATATAGACAAAGAAACCACATACCCATAAACTCAACAACTAATGCGCGCGCACACACGTACTCACATAGTATAACCAACAGTAGTAGCAGATCATCTTATCTATAATTGATTAAACTATTGTCTTCCTGGCTCTTTGTGTAGCAAAGGCATTTATGATATGTTTGGTGTTAAGCGATGTTAACTGGTCATTTTGTACGCACAACAGTTCCAGTGCATTTAGCCTGTCTTGGCATATTGTTAATCGAGGCGTGTTCTTTATCCTTTTTAGCGTCAAGTATGATCTTTCTCCAAAACAATTTCTTGGAATGAGGCACAGGTACATCCTTCAGATTATCAGGGCGTTTGGGAAAGTTGATTTCAGAGATTGGTCGCACATCATTCTCAGCGTACTTTGTTCCATGTATTCTGACAATTTTTCAATGAACCTTGCCTTGAAGAGGGCGGAAGATTGAACACTTTCTTCTCCTGTGCAACTCACCAAGTCCGTAGCATACATACTAATAAGCTTTTTTGGTGGTGTTGCGGAGGTCCTTAGTAGGCATGAATTCTAAGTTTTGTAGAAACCCAAATTTACAACTGACATTTTCATATGCCACTATTCTGTTGTCTAGTGCAAGTGTCAGTTTCTCAATTATTGTTAAAAAAAGTTTGAACTTTATATTGAGTAGATGGTGAAAAACCACTGCCCTCAGCAACTCCTTCGTTCCATCATGTATTTCTCTCCCTGCTTTTTGATCTTTTGGTCTCATATGTCTAGCATACCATTAGCTTTCCCCCGTATTTGGGGAATGTATCTTATAATACCAGCACGAATATCTCGATATTTTAGTAGATAAGAAGCTGTACTAACATACTTTTGGGAGTTTTGTAAAGAACGACGTGTCTTGTGAAACTTCTTCAGGATAACGTTCTATAATACCTTCATTATACCTGTTTCTAGTTGTTTCAATTGTAGCATTAAGCTTCTAGACTGAGCACATTTGAGGCTTTTCAGATACATCGTCTGTAATAGAAGCAAGGACTTGCGTTATGGCTCTGTACCCCATTTTTAAAGCTCACATTCCATCTGAATTGGTGCTCCATTTTGTGTATGAAAACCTCTTTGTTGTCGGGATCCTTAGTTTTTTTAAAGCACATGGTGTAGGCTCTTCCACATGTGGATTGAAACCGAGAAAAACAAAGCTTCTGCATAAAGGGAAAAATAAACAAGCTTCAGTACAGAAGTTCATAGCACATTGTCCAACCGTTAAGAGAATGAACCCAGCAGAGAATATAGTCTTCTAGGGGTTTTTTTCTTTGATCAAGACTTGAATACCAACATATTTGCCACTCATATTAAGTGCATTGTCATAAGGATGCCCATGGTAATTTTGAATTATTATATCATTTTTTTAAGGAAATTAATGAGAACTAGCATTTTCTGCTCCTGTGTCATTGCTTATTGGTAAGAATGTGGCAAATTTCTCGACATGGCCATCACCTAGAATGTATCTATTGATATTTGACCCATGTGGGATATGTCTGGAGTAGAATCAACAGATACCGAGTAATACTTGGATGTTTTGATGATTTCCTGAATAATGGCAGTAAGAACTTCTATGTGTAGGATTTCAATGAATTTGTCACCAACTGTTGAGGATAAGTATGAAACTTTACTTTTTTCCCTTATTTGCGTGTTTTTGAATATGTTCAGCAAGGAATGCATCATTCTCAGCTAATAGCTCCAATATTCCTAAGTAAACAGTGCTATTATGCACTGAACCAACTACCTCATTGCCTCCTCTTAATACTAACTCTCTGGATGATAGAAACTTTATGACTGAGAGAATATGCTCTGGAACTTGGTGTCAGTATTTTTTCTCAGACTCCATCTACTCTGTTAAAGTCTTGTCGATTCATACACTTTTGGTTTTACGAATAAAAGGTTTGGCGACGCAACTTTGATTCAGCGAACTTGCAGCAAGTTTACAGTCAGGGTAACCAGTTGTTGCTAGTGAAAAAGTTTCCATTACTGTTGAAAACAATTTGCATATGATGCAGAAGACATTCCCCTTCGACAGTGAATACCAAAGCCATCTCTTAACCTTTTTTCCATTCAATTGCTCGAGATAAAAAAAAGTCCTTGAGCATTGGCTTGTATTTGTCACCTGGAATAGATTTCATAGATGCACTGACGTATGCATCCATATACCAGCAAAAGGTAATCTCCGACAAACAAAATCTCTCATTTCAACAGAAACTTGTGTCCATGTCCCAATGTCAAATGAAAAGGATGGGTTAGTATCTTCATCACCATTGCAATAATTGATTTCTTCCTGCTGCAGGGTCTCGATTCAATTTGGTGAGATTGATGGTCATCAGCATTGAGAGTTGTAGTCTTTACGATTTTTTTTCACAGTCTTGGTTGACAGTTATGTTTCAAGCACTTTCTGACTGAGGGCAAAGGCTCTTTTGATATGCCATCATCATCCAGAGATTTAGTGTCTACATTGTTGTTTCCACAGCCTTGACTGGCGAGGGTTTAAGTACTAGAGGACGAAGCCCATAAATCCGTTATATTCCTACTTTTAGCTAGTACTTTCTTATTTTTTCTTCCTCATTCTTTGACTTTAGCTTTTCCTGGATACTCTTGTGTTTGTGCATATGTATAATAGATAAGATGAACACTTAATGAACAATCTGTGTGTGCACGTATAAGCGTGCATGCTTGCGCGCGTATATATACCTGATGATGATAAAACCTTGTCGAAACGTTGTACATTTGCTGTTGTGTTAAACTTATACTAAAGTTTTTCTTCATTACCCATTCAAGCCGTCTCCAGCCATTATTAGTGTGACTAGGTTTAGCCTAGCTTAGACCTAGCATATTGGCACTGTAAAATGTATGCAAACATGATAGGCCAGAGCGGAGTCGTACTATCTGGAGACAAGCCAATTAAATCTATGCACTCTACATTGCACGACAGTCCTACCCACGTCACACACAAACTCTCACTTCGAGAAGAAGTAGACTGGGTCGAATGATTTCATCAAGCATTTCCCCCACAAAAATGAAGACGAGCCATTTCTTTGAGCCCGAACCTGTTACTATAACCCCAATATCACCCGCCTTTATCCGCCCATGATTATATCTAAATCCTTGCGTCTCTTGTATTTGTAAATTATATCAGGACAACACTTGCGGCAAGGCATTTTTTGCGATATATATTTTCCAACTTTATCTTAATTATTTGTTAGTATAAACTTGTTTAACTTCATATTTCTTTTATTTTTTTTATATTTAAAGCTTCTTTTGTTGACTTGAGGGCCAGTTGTTTCGTAGAAGACATAATGAAACGTTTTCATGAAGTGGATAGTTTCAACGAAAGCCATGTAATAAAAGGCAGCCTGGTTCCTTTGCCACCCGGTGAAGAACAGGAAATAACTGTGGAAGTGCCTGATGCTATTTGGAATGCAAAACCAAACAGCACTATCAATTACACTCGTATCGATGTATACTTCTCTTTGAGGATAGTCGACGAAAGGAACAACTTGGGTGATCTTTCTAATATTGTTGCTGGACACTTCAGAAAAATTGCATTCGTTCTAGTGGAAGAAGAGAAATCTCCTAAATGGTGGGTTTATGCATTCGGCATTGGTGCAGCTACTCTTCTTATTATTGTTGTTATTGTAGTTTCATGTAGAAACAAAGGGAAAAGAAATGCATGTACAAATACTTCGTTGACAAGTTCTGCGTAGGGTTCATGAAATCCTGAAAATGAGGTAATCTTTTCGCTACAGGCTGGGGCGTTAGTGAATTTTACTAGCTAATCACGAGTTTGCTCCATACCTAACAGGGAAAGGAGTACTGATCATTTTCTGAATGAAACTTTATTGTTAAAAGTACTGTACAGTTTCACACCTATATTAAATTCTATACAGATATAAAAAGGTTTTTACGGTTGTTATTTTTACTTTGAATAATGGATTCTTAGAAAATTTGTCATGGCATTTTGGCTTTGTATTGAAATAATTTTGCGCCTCAGATATATCCCCGCACAGTAGTCCAAAAATATTCAGCCGTAAATTCCAGATTTCCTGGACTTTTCAAATCTTACCAGGTTAATGGGCTCGAATTTATCTGTAGAATAAGAATTTATAGTTTTATAATATTATATTAAGGTATATCATATAAAATTCTTAATCATTATTGTAAACATAAAATTCATGTTATACATTATTGTAAACATAAAATTCATGTTATACATTATTAAACGTTTATGGGCACCTTTCGTTTTTCTGAATATTTCATTCAGGGAATTTTTTTTGTGCGTGTTTTTTTCAACAGTAACTTTGACCAAGATCGTTTAAATCATAAGTTTAGGCTTTTTCGTTAGTTATTTTTAAGTTATTTCAAAGTTTTAAAAAATGGTTGTCATATTGAATTACAAAGTCGAAACAGTTATGTATATCAAATAAGCCTATCGCTTAGTAAAAATGTCCTAAGGTCTTTACCGGTGTTTAGAGCTATGCATGTTTGATTTAAAGCAAAGTATTTTTGGTTTAATAGCCTTAGTTAAGAACGAAGCTATTTAAAATATATCGTTTATTAGGAAAAACACGTATTCATGTGTTTGGCCACTCTTCTCTTGGATTAAGCATATAATTTCTTAATGTATACATGGAAACAAAATAAAAAGGAAATTACTGTGTGCGTGTGTGTTTATATATTCATTCCAGTTTTTAATCCGTTATTTTGCATAATACCATATCTCTTGCCTGCATTTACTGATTATTTCATGAAAATATCACTGTTCAGTGTGCTTTAAATTACTGAAGGTTCTGTAATCGTTATCTATAGCTATGTTTTATATACGACTTCAGCAGAAATGTTTTAAATATTTAACAATAAAGTGTTTAATTTTTCCGGTATAGGTTGCTTTAAAACATAACTCAATTCTATACTATGATTATAGTTCCTTTTAATTGCATTTTCAAAAGACTATCATGATGGAGTTTGTTTTTTTTCTAAAGTGTTTGTTTGTTTATGGCAAAACTACTAACGTTATCTGCTGCTGTCCGTCCATAAATTTGAGCTGCTAACCATAGGGAAGGCAAAGGCCTGCAGCACACCCCGCCAACTCTTTACCAACAAATAGTGGGATTGAGCGTCGTATTATAACGCCACCACGGCTAAAGAGCGAACATGTCTGGCGCCACGAAACACAAATTGCGAGTCGAGCGCACTAATCGCCAGGCCTTGCCAAGACCCTTAACAAGTGAAACTGAGATAGGCTGAAAATACAAATTTTGTTTACCGTGCAAGTACATTAGCCAACTAATTTTTAGTTACAGAGCTGTGAGATTACTTTTTTCTTTATGTCGGAAGTCTTGGGTCTTTGTTCATTGTTTGTTAAGTATATTTGGCAAGACTGTTTAGCTAATCCAAAAGGCTTATAAAGCACAGAACTTCTCTTGTATTTTTTGAACTTTTTTGTTTTGTTCCAAGTGAATGTACAACTGCAAACCTTTTGAACTATTTGTGAAAAACCTTGAAACCAACAGAAACTTTAGAAAGTTATTTTCCCAGTAGAAATTTTTTATTTATATTGTCTGATGAATAACTCCTCTTACTGTATTTTTAGCTATTTTGAAGGTTCTCTCCTTATCAAAATTGACAAGAAAATTTAACCTTTAAGATAAACTCAAATTATGGGTTAGTAAACAGTGAAGAAGACAAAAAGACGCTACTTCCACAACTTAATGAAACAATGTTAGTGCCATTGGTTTGTTTCTCATGATCCAAAATACAAATGTATGTTCAGTTTACTGTTTTCTAAAGTACCTTATAAATTTCTAGCTGATCTATAGCATAAGCAACATATTTATTCCTGTGGCAGATACAGCGTAAAAAGTCCATTACGCAGCTTCGAACACCTTGTAGAACACCCTTACATACACAACAAAGACTCAGATACTTCGCAAAACTTTGATACTGTTACGTCTCCGTTTGTTAATTGATTTTTCCGTAACTTCG